CCCCTGCCCCACGCGTGGCGCGCCCGAGCGTGGCCAGCCGCGCGCTCTCGGTGTGCTGTCACCTCTCCTGATTGGTGGCTGTAGGCTGGCTCACCTGTTGTCATTAAACTCATGCTTTGGTCCTGTCCCCGTAGTGAGTCCGCCCTGGGCTCGGACTCTGCGGAAAGCTTGGCACTGCCAAATGACGTAAACTGTTTGCCCAAGTTTGAACTTGAGTTCCGAATTAAGAACTCTGAACTATCCAAAAAGTTACCCGAGTTGTGAGTTGTTTGCAAGGTGGATGACAGCGGGAAAATGAAGGGTAGGGTCCACTTGCCACGGGGACACGTTTCAAAACTCTTCTACCAAATGTTATTGTGACGCTAGCCAGAAGAAGCAGAGGCACTTGAATTCCTGTTCCTACCAGCTCTTGCAGAGTTTTTGAGCACCTTCTGTATTATACGTTAAGAAAACATATATTTTCACTCTTAACTGGACTGATAGTCTCTCAAAGAAAGGGTAATTGAAAGAATGTTCGAAGTCAGTAAAATGTAGGCATGCTATTGCAGGCCTGAATACTTGATGAAGTCAGTTTTTTGGCGTGTGAAGTTGGGTTGATTTAGTGGAAAGTGAGTAGACTGATAAAAGAATTCCAGTTAGCAACAGACAGGCTTGTTTGGAAATAGTGACAACACCTATCTGCACTGAAGGAAAAGGCCTGCACACATTGCCTGGAGTATCACCCCATGTGACAGAGTTTGAAGAAAAGCCACAGAAAGTAGTGTGGTTTTTTTGTTTGTTTCTTTTAGTTTGTTTTGTTTTTTAATGAATACCACTTTGTTTTTCTGGAGTTGTTAGATTTTACCTGTTCTGCTTCTAGTACTCTAATATGCCTTTAATATTTAAAAGAATTTTGGATAGAATAGGACACTCAAGTTCTAGTTAAACTTCTATTCAAACTTAAATATTCTAAAATAAATCAGAAAGACCCAAGAGGGCAGTCTGATTGTTCAGCCCTGGAAAACATGTCTGACAGCGATGTCTGCCACCATTACATCGTTGGCTAATTGTATGTACCATTTGCTGTGTGACATTAATTAGAACAAATAAGTTGGAACCAAATCACAAATAGACCTGCATTCATCTAGCAACACTGTCAGTTTGGACATACATTACCTAGAATCCAGTCTGGGAAGTAATTAAAATCCATATGGCTAGCTTTGCCATTTTCTACTACTCCAAAGTTAACTATTTCAGTGGAATCTAAAGTTTTGAAACTGTGTTGTGTGGAAATGAGGTTTTTGGTAAACAGATAATAAAGATAAAAATGAGAATGAGTATGGTAATTAGAATACAAATGAATTATTAAAAAGAATTACCTTAGTGGTGGTAACTAAGTTTGATAAAATCTTTTAACAATGAATTTTTAATTAATTCTCACAACATCACAGCAAGTTAGTTGTCATTGACATCCCTTCCTTGTTGTGAGACTTGAAAATTAATATAACTATAATGACTGGCAGTTCCTAAAGTGTCAGAGGTAAGTGGTTTGCCCAAAGTCAAATGTCCAGGAAGTGGTAAAGCCAAGACTGAAGCTAGTTCTTTTTTCTTTTATGTCCTGCATTATTTTCACTTTGCTGTAGATCCCTGTGTTTGTTACATCTGAATATTATGGTTTTATTTTAATGAAATTTTAAAAGAGCTTTGAACTATATAAACTGCTCAAAAGTCTTTAGAAGACATCTCTGAAAAGTCTTTGATTGATTTAACTAGATATTTAAATTTAGTTTTTCTAAATGAGTCATTTTACTTCCTTTGTTCTTTACCATCAAATTATTTTATTTCAGGCCAGGGATTTAGCTCAGCGGTTCGGTGGCCTGCCTTGCAAGCACAAGGACCCAAGTTCAATCCCCGGTACCAAAAAAAAAAAATTATTTTATTTCCAAGACATTCTTGCCTTAGGTTAGTATTAACGTCATTTATGATGCTTAACTATTGTATTTATATAGACAGAGGCATTATGTACTTAGCACATAGAAGAATGTTGTATGCCTGTTATTTTAACAAGGCATTTGACATAGTCTAGAAATAACATAAACTGTAGTGCAAGTTGTTAGATCAGAGTCAAAGTAGGAGTTCTGGCATTCCTTGTTAGTTATTTTCATCATTGGAGAGTAATAAAGGTGATAGTGGGTAATAAACTGTATAGCAGTTGGTATGTGGTAGACATAGTTCAATGTGCTTCCTGTATATTAGTTCATAACTAACTTTATGATGTGAGTACTATTTTTTATTCCCAAAGCAGTGAGAGGTAATGTGACTGAAATTTGAACATGTGTCTTCTGTTGTAGAGCCAAACAGAGAGCAACATTTGAATTTACAAAAGCAGCCAAAATAGAAGAAAATGTGTATTTAATGATTCATAATGGCTTATAAATGTGTGAACAAAATAAAATTATTTAAAAATGAGGAAGATGAGAATTGGAAAGAAGAGTAGTGAAGCAAGTGAGGTGGAGACTAGAATAAGAATATACAAAATACACATCCATTACTTGATACAGGCAGCCTACAAGTTTGACTTTTAAGATTATTGAATAGTTAACATGAGAGAACCCAATTATATTCATAAAGTTAAACTGATTCTTTGACTCAAAAAATGATAAAGGATAGCCTATCACATACTCTCTTGGAGAAGAGACTCAATGCTGAACCATATCTCTCAATAAAAGAATAATAATAAAAGGGATTGACTCCATAGAACTGCTTCTTATAACTTCCCAGAATCCCATTTTAGAAGCAAGTCTGATAGCTGGTGTTAGCAGTATTCCTCAGTGGAGGTTCAAGGCCCTCCTGATTTTATTTAAAGGAATGCTTACAAGAGTAGGTGTATATGTGTCTTGAGCCCCTGTAACCCAGCTTTGGAAAGTGAGTCGCCAAGTGTTGGAGGTTGTTCCTCATCCACTGCTTCAAATATAGTTGTCCTTTGTTTCCTATTTATTACAGAGATTCAGCATTCATCAAACATTTGAGTGCCTACCGGGTGCCAGTGTAAACCAAGGCCTTGAGGAAACAGTAGTAGCCTCTATCAGATGGAGGCCTGTGGTTGCTGCCCCTTCCCCACGTAGCATTCTAGCTTAATGAAGGAAATGGTCAGTTAAACAGTCCTAACAGAGCCTGTATGTCCTCTGATGAGGGAGGCTGAGGGTTCCCTGGAGGCCTGGAACTGTGCCCTGGATATGGGAGCCAGGGCGACTTTGGCAGAGGAAGTGGCATCCAACTTGTGACCTGAAGGATGAATAGCATTGTGATCCCGGAGGCAGGGCTCAGTTCACCGAACTTGTAAGCACTTGCTTTTTTCTAGCAAATATTCTGGTTTGTGAGTAAGATGTAAAGATGAATAAGAAGTACTTCTAACCCTCAAAGGAGAAAAAGTTCATTCTGACTTCTCACTTAAAGTGAAAATTTGATATAATCACCCTGAATACTTCTGTTCAACTAAATGTAAAAGGCTATATAATGAGTTCTTTTAATCCATTTTCAGTTTCTGCTTTGTAAAGACCAGCAGTAGCCCTTAAGTGTGGCCCAGGGGATAGTTCATTAAACTTTGAAATAAATTTATTGTACCAGGTGCATGGGATACATCAGAAAGCAAAGATCTCTGCCTCACTGGGACTAAAGAGCATTTTGTTAGTGTTGTAAGTGTGAAGAAGAATTAGCCGTGGGAAGTAGATTTGGTGTATTGATGGTAACCATGAGGTTCAGTGGTGAGCTGAACATCTGAAGAGTGAGGAGTGTAACAGATATGGTGGTGCATGCCTGTAATCCCACTGCGGGGAAGATCCCGTTTGAGGCCAGCATGGGAAACTTAGTGAGACTCTGTCTGAAACTTAAAAAGGGCTGGGGGTAGAGCTCAGAGCAAGACCCTGGGGTTCAATCCCAGTACCCCCATGGAAGAAAGTGTTTTTTTGTTTTTTTGTTTTTAAGAGTGCTTAGAGAGCTTGAATGAGATTAGAATTTACATTTATTAAAATATGTGTGTGTGTGTGTGTGTGTGTGTGTACCCACTAAATACTGATCCTTCTTCCAAGTTAACAAAAAAAGATAATTTCTCTCTTTGTTTTTAAAGATTTTTCAAGAGCTAGATAATCATTTGGAATGGGCGTATCAATTTAAGACATGCCTAAAGTATTTGGATTATTTATTCTTTAGAATAGGTTAAATATGCCTAATTGCCCTTTTACTAGTATTTTTCTAAGCACAATCTTTTAAAAGTTAGTAACAGCTTTATTTCTGAGTTAAGGAAAGTTACGGATTTTCACAATAACACCTATATAGCTTTGGAATAAATTCCAAATTAAAATGTGAGTAGGTTTATTTGGCTCGTGGTTTCAGAGAGTTCCATCCATGGTCAGCTGGCTCTAAGGTAGAAAGGCCTGGTAGAGAAAAGCCACTCAATCCATGGCAGCCAGGAAGTAGAGCAGGGAACAGGGCCAGAGAGGAAGGGGCCAGGGACCAGGTATGCACAGTACCCAGTGTCACGCCTCCATGACCCCCTCAGATACACCCGAACATGGGCTTTCCTAATCCCCTAGGCAGCTCACATGCCAATGAAGTTTATAGTCCAGTTTAACTGTCGTAGGTGCAAAGGGCTTTAAGTGTGAGATCATTGATGAATCTAAGGATTTGGGGCTTAAACTGAAAGGTTTCGAGTTGCCAGCAGCTGGAACAGGGAAGAATGGAGATGAAATCTTCAGGAGGATGGGTAAAGAAGACTGAGCTTGAGGTAGTAAAATTGGTCAGTGTATTAACATCCAAGTACAGGGGCTGGGGATTTAGCTCAGTGGTTCTGCTGCCTGCCTCACAAGTGTAAGGTCCTGAGTTCAATCCCAGGTACCAAAAAAAAAAAAAAAAAAAAAAAAAAAAAAGAAAATCCAAGTAGAGACTGAATACTGTAGCAAATTTCATGGCAGAAGTTCAGGCTTGAGATGTAAAGTCATCAGTTTTCATAGAGGAGAGGAGCACAGGCTGGATCTAGGAAACCCACAGTTAAATAAAGGGTCAGTAGATAGCACACTGGGGGCTGGTGATCACTTTGTAAAATTGTTTCTCTTAGTGAAATAGGGCGCTAGACCATCTACTGAGATGGTGGATGAGAGAGGAGATGGAGACTGGGGAGTGGGCGCATGCGTGTGAGTCCAGTGGTCCCTGAGCAGGCATAGAGTCAGCGGACAGTGGGCCCGACCAGTACTGGGAGTCTCCCAGGTGACCGTGAGGAAGGGAAGGGAGGGCGGGGCCGTAATTTGGTCTGGCCAAGGAGGGAAGTGAGAACCTGAAGGAGGTGAAGAAGGACTGTGTGGTAGACTGGTGCTTTGTAGCTCTTGCGGGATGGAAGAAGTTTTGGACTCAGGGTGAACTAGGAAGATTGGAGGTGCTTGATATTGAAAGTATGGGGAGGTGGCAGTTAGTGATAAAGACAGAATTGGAGAGAAGACTAGAACTAGCTGAGGTAGGATGAAAGAGAGACTCATTGCAAAGGAGGTGAAAGGAGAGGTGTTGATGTGGTATTTTTCAACAAATAGTGAACTTTTCCCCTCGTGTCATTATTGGAACTTAAAGAGAAGTGGGTTTGGGGTCAGAAAATCCAGAAAGAAGAACATGTAACACTTGATTGCATTTTTCTGCACCTTATTATTCTAAAGCCATTGATCTAAGCCATACGTATGGTGAGCGTTCTTGGAGCTGCTCTTTCTCCTAATGCAGTAACTTCTTGTATGGCAGGGTTGAATGCATTCTTGGACGATCCAGAGTTTGCTGAAATTATATCAAGAGCAGAGCAAGCAATAGAACTTGGAGTTTTTCCAGAGAGAATCTCTCAAGGGTCAAGTGGAAGTTACTTTGTGAAGGATCCTAAGAGGGTGAGAAGTTCACAGACCTACTACACACTGCTGAAATTTTGGAAAACACAGATTTAAACGTGAATTCATTGTGGTTCTGAAGATGTTTTTCTTTCAAATCTGATTGCTCCTTCTTTTCCAAAATTAGGGCCACTTTTTCACTAAAGCATTCTTTATATAGAAATAGAAATAATCGTTTTAAGTTATAGCTTGCTGTTTTGATATTTTATATTTGGTTTTGAGCATTTACTAAATGTCCACGTTCACCTGTAGATTTGTTAAGCATATATTCATAAGTCCTTACTTTATAGAAGCTTGGAACTGTATTAGCCAAGCACAGTGGAAATTTAAACTTTCAAAACCTGTTTGATGTCATTTCTAAATATTTAAACCTCCCCCCAAGGTACATTTTGCCCTAGGAATAGTTTTTCTGACATCATATCAATGAAAGGACTCTGGGAAACCTAAAGTTCAAAGGGATTGGATTGCAACAAAGTGAAATGTACTAAGGTGTGATTCTAGCTTAGAAAAGAGACATTGATATGGCACTTTCTTCACTTAGTCTAGAATCTTTCAAAAATATGTTATCTTTTCTAAAAGCATTCTGAATGTTGGTAAATAAGCAGTTTCTCTTTTGAAAGGGAAAAAAGTATATAACTTTACTCAATTTTTTCTTGCAAAGATTGAAGTTATATTTTAAAAGTGATTTTAAAGCCTAGTTTTAAAAATATATGTAAATGTATTAATAGATATCTGCCTGCAAGGGTGCCTTCAGAGGCTGAGGCAGGAGAGTCACTTGGGCCCAGGAGTCTGTAGCCCGCAGCTTAGGCAATTTAGCAAGATCTTGTCTCTTAAAAATAAGTGTATTTGTAGATCACATCAATCTCTCCACCTTTTCTTTCCTTTTGTGTTTGTTTTTGCCTTGTGCATGCTAGGCAAATGCTTTATCATTGAGCTATGTCTTGACCCTAAGTTTGATTTCTTATTATTAGTTTTTACTGATTTTTTTATTATTCAGATTTTGTTGCATTCCAAAAAATTATGTATTTTAAATTATGTGGGTTTTATTTCTTGTCTAAGGATAATTCAGCCTCTAAATGTAACCCGAATAAGCCAGGCAAGGTGATACACGCCTGTAATCCTAGCACTCAGAAGGCTGAGGCAGGAAGATCACTGTGAGTTTGAGGCCAGCCTGAGCTACATAGTGAGACCCTGCCTCAAAAAAAGTTTAACATGAATAAATTGTATCAGATCATTACTAAAGATTATAGGGGCCTTTAGATATCCATTAGTGAATTTCTATTTAATAGAGAGTTTATTTAAAATTGGCCATGAAAAACATAACTGGAAAAGTTTTAGTGTAGGAGAATCTGACCATACAGATGTTCAGTATATCATATATTATCACCTTGTGTTTTAAAGAACTTTTTACCATGGGATTTATTAGTTTATGTAACAAATACTGATGCCTACTGCACATCAGGTACTGTTCTAGGTACAGGAAATGCAGCCTGATGAAGTCCTTGCCTGTTTGTAATTACACCATAGCAGCGAAAGTACACAATAAACTATAATCTTGATGTTTAATAAATACTGGATAATAATACTTTGTAACCTACTTTGGTGGTTTTCAAACATTTAAAAATTAGTGGAACGTTTTAACTCAAAAGTTCAGTAATAATAAAACAGGTAAAATCAGAGTTAATAGGCTGATGGGTTAGATGGCATGAAGTTTTGTCTTTACCTTCTTCTAACGCAAAGCTTGTCACAGCACAGTTTGCAAACCACTGGTGTCAGGCCTGGCCTAGACAAACGGGACAAAGCAAATAGGCTGCTTTTAGCAAACAATAGCAGCTTCTCAGCAAACAAGGCAAATGGACTCAAAACTATTTATAAAACCCCCTGGTGTCAAGAAGTCCAGTGACTGTCCACATACCTGAGCAGACAAGTCACAAACGTTCCTTATGATTGTAGCCTCTTCCCCCAAATCTGTATACATAATAGTTTTCTTTCCCTGCAAGCTGTTAGAATCTCCCTGACTTTAGTCCCTGCTCACTGGTAAGCTTTTCTTTTCCTCACAACAAAAGAGCCTATTTAAATGAGTGGATTCATGTGTGCCATCTATAACAACTGATCCAAAAGATTATTGATTTTAGCTTGTTTAATGAATAAATGTAAAAATATGATTGGAACCAAATCTTTTAATATTTAAGGATTATGCCTAAATGTGGGGGGCACAATAGTAATTTATCAGTATATTTTGTGGATTACTACTAATTATATATATTTACATATACTTTGATGTATTTAGTCTAATAGGGTATATATAGTCTAATAAGATACATACTGTCTAATTATATATATAGTCTAACAAGATTTCTGTTTTTCCCCTACAGAAAATTATTGGTGTGTTTAAGCCCAAATCAGAAGAGCCTTATGGTCAGCTGAATCCAAAATGGACCAAATACGTCCATAAGGTCTGCTGTCCTTGCTGCTTTGGTAGAGGTTGCCTGCTTCCTAACCAGGGATTCCTTTCCGAAGCTGGTGCCTACCTGGTAGATGAAAAGCTTCATCTGGGCATTGTACCAAAAACAAAGGTAAAGGAGAATTTGTCTTCATCAAGTAGTGCTTCTAATACACAGCCCGCTTGTCATTGAGCACTATATCTCCTCATGATGGAGCCTAAAGTTGGGTCTCTTTTTGGTAACCTAAGAATCATAAGCAAGTAGTAAATTGAATTTAGTGCAGATCCAAAAGTATTCAAAGGAGCTCAGTGGTTCCAGTGCCTGCCTCAGAACTCTTAATCCTGAGGGCTCAGACGATGCTAATGGAGGAAGCAGTACTAACATTTAGAAAGCAGAAAATTAATAGGGGTCTGCCTGTCCCAGTGAAGGCAGAGAGAGCACTAATGTGCTCACGAGTCTACTATGGTTTTCTTTTTGAGCATTTTATACTTATACTTGAACGCATCCTTTTTTAAACCTTTCTTCAAAACATTCCTCCCTAATTCTACTTCTAAGACCTTTTTCTCCTCAAAAGTTTTTTAGACCTCTCTCAAAAAGAAATCTGTGCCCTTTAGCAGAGCTTCCTAGAATCCTCTGGCCTTTGTATTTTAGATTGTCTGGGATTATTGCAGGGTTAAACTCTGCTCATTTACAGCATTAGAATGAACTTGCTAGTATATGTGAAGAGAAATTCTATAATGCAAATTCTAACCGTTTTTTAAAACTGTGTTTCTAGGTGGTTTGGCTCGTCAGTGAAACATTTAACTACAATGCAATTGACCGTGCAAAAGCAAAAGGCAAAAAGTATGCCTTAGAGAAAGTGCCAAAAGTAGGTAGAAAGTTTCATCGGATAGGACTCCCTCCCAAGGTAAGTTGCCTGCTAAGCTTTGTTTAAGATGCAGCTGGGCATGTAGCGCCTGAGCTCCATAAACATGGCATTATGCTGTGAGCTGTGGATATGATAGTGAAAGGAAACAAAGCTTACAATAACCAAGCAACATCAGTGCAGTCTTAAAGCTGCCGATAGGATGGCAAGCAGGGAGCTCTGGGAGGCATGAAGGATGCCTAGGCCTGGGATTATAGTTTATTGGTAGAGCACTTGCCTAACTTGGAAAGCTCTGGTTTTAATCCCTAGTACCATAAAACAAACAAAACAGAACAAAAAAAGGTTAGCTACCTGAGTTTGGAAGAGCTGGGAAGGTTTCCAAAAGAAGACATTACAGCGAGGCCTTTGAAATATAATGGTGAACCCAGGTAGGTGTCAGTACCAGCCTCTCCTCTGGTTGGCTTGAGACCTTGGGCAAGGTTCTTACTGTCCAGACCCTGGTTTCTGTAATAAGGGAGTGACACAGACTACTTCTTAGCTTGTAAAAGCTTAAGAAATTCACATTGAGTACTTGGCACATAGCAAAGGTTTAACAAATGGTAGTGGCTGTGTTTGTTACCCACTATATATCAAATTTTTAAATTTATTTACTCACTTATTTATTTGGTGGTACTGGGAATTGAACCCAGGGCCTCAAGCATGCTAGGCAGGTGCTATACTACTGAGCTGCCTTCCCAACCCATTTTCTTTCTGAGACAGGGTCTCACTAAGTTGCCCAGGCTTCTTACCACTTTTAAATAAATCTGAGGGTTGGTTAAAGCAAACTAAGCAAGCCATGGAGAGGCTAATGGGAAAGGCATTCTTGAAAAGGCTCTAGGATTTATTTTTACTAGGCAGGCCACCGAACCGCTGAGCTAAATCCCTGGCTTAGGATTTATTTTTTAAAAATATATCTGACCTATGATTTTGTTGTTTTTTTTTGTTATACATGTATCTAGATAAAATAATTTAAGTAGAAATTAATGGTTAACCCAGCTTTTTTAAAAATTGAAGTCCAACTAAGCAGGAAGTTTGGGAAATTTTTACAAGAGCTATTCTTTCCTTGGATGTGCTGAAATCCGTGTTGACTAGAGGAGGCTAAACTAATTAATTATAAGTGCTTTAAAGAAAACCTTTAGGAAATTGTTAAAAATTTTGTGCCAAGAAGAATATAAAATGTTAGAAGAAATGGATTTTCTTTGTGTGATTTTTGTTTGCGTTTGTGAGGCAGCATAGGTTGTCTGTCCTCTGCTGTTGAAACTTAGATTTCCATCTTTAACACATTGTTCAATATTAACTTGAAATTTTAGCAACAAAAATGTCTTTGAAAATGAACATGTTTTCAAAGAAAGGACTTTTTTCTTAAAGAAAGGACTTTCCTTAAAGATACTGTAGAGGTTATAATTAATTGATTACTTCATTAAAATGTTTTAGAAGGTCTTTGATCTGTATGGCCAAAGAATCCATTCTATTTTTATGTTAAATTCTTTTCTGTATTTGATGTTGTAAAAAGAATCCCAAAATGTTTCTTCAGTAAGATAAGATTATGCTATTGTGAAATAACCAGGATAGGTATACAATTTGGTCTGCATAATTAAATTCATTTTAATGAATATTTTTAGAAAACAGCATGCTTGTTAAGAATGTCACCTTGAGGACACGTTTCTTCTATTTTTAATTATCCTAAAGTAGCTGCTATGTTCCTTGAAAGTCTAGGGTTGAGCATTTTTCATTTGCTATGTATTCTTCATGTGATTATTTAAAATTAAGTGTGTCAAAACAGTCTCCTTGATAAATGTGGCTTATCTAAATTAGTGTTGACTTCTGTTTTTATTATTGTGTTTATATAACAATTTGTGACAGTACTGCTGTGAGATTTAAATATTAATCCCTTTGTTCTTGTACTTTCTTTTCTAACTGTAGTTCTTAAAATTGTAGATTGGTTCCTTTCAATTATTTGTTGAAGGTTACAAGGAGGCTGAATATTGGCTTAGGAAATTTGAAGCTGATCCTTTGCCTGAGAATATTAGAAAACAGTTTCAGTCACAATTTGAAAGATTAGTTATATTGGATTACATCATCAGAAATACAGGTATTGAAATTCTCTACTTGTTCATTCCAATCTTGGCTTTCAAACTAGATCCTTGCTATCTAAATCAAAGCCATAAAATTTTCATGCAGAAGTCTTAAGGCCACTTCCTCCACCTGTTTTAGAAAACAGCTGCAGACTTGACTCTTGGGCAGAGTTAATCTTGCCCTTGGGGCTTCTGACTCATAGCAGACTCTTTCTTGGGCCTTGGAGATCAGTTCCTGTCCCCTAGGAGCGAATTTTCTGTTCCTAGGAGCAGGACAAAGCCAGATACTAGAAATATTATCTGCATAATATGAAAAATTAAAACTCGATTGTGTAAATTATTCTAGATGCTTATTTTGACATATGTGACTGTTAGTATAGTTTAGAAGTACATTGAACTTTTCATTCGTTCTGCATTGTAAGGGAGCAGTGACATTGTTGACAACTCAAAGCAATGGGTTTGCATCCAGGCATCTTCTCAGATGAACCCTACACTCACTGATGCAGAAACCTTGCAGGTGGGGCCCTGGTGATTCTGAAGTGTGAGAACCACTGGTTTAAAGGTTTTATCATTTATATTTTCTGAGAAGGCGTCATGTAATTTTCTAGATTGGCCTTCTTAATTAATGTGTTCTCGGATTGATATTTAAATTACTATATAGTCTAGAGTACTGCAATGCCTTCTTGGAAATTTACCTAGCAGTAAGGGTAGCTGCTTTTCCTTCTGGTGAAGAGAAGTTACACTTGATCTTAATACCCGTGACCTAACAGTTATATCTACCTCACGGGATGGTACACGGTTTAAATGAATTAATATTGTAAAGCACTTACAACAGTATCTGGCACAGACAAAACAATAGCATTCAAATATAATAAATGTACACATTGTGTTCATATATGTTAAATATAGTAACTGTTAGCATTTTGGGGGTTTTTAGTTTTTTGTGTTAATTAGGAACCTTTAATATGGTAAACATACTACCGAAAAACAATAGAAGTCTCAAAAAATTAGAAAGTGATTAGATTTCTCCCCTTGATCTTAAGCTATAATGTTCCTAAAAAAATGAACTAACAGATCTTTTGTTTGTTTCTTTCTTTTGGAAGACAGAGGAAACGATAACTGGTTAGTCAGATATGAAAAGAAATGTGAGAAGGAAATTGATCATGAGGTAAGAAAATTTAAAATAAACAAGTAAAAATATGCATCTATTCAGTTTATGAAGAGATTTCTTGAATATACTCTTCACTATTTCCTCCTTCCTTTGTTTAGAATGGATATCTAGTTTTCTATACCGTGTGTTTTTCTTATCCTTTCTCTTTCCATCCCTTGTTTCATTGAATTTCTTCCCCTTCCTCCTCCTCCTCCTCGTTTTGTTTTGTCTTTTGAGACACAGTCTTGCTTTGTAGGTCAGGCTGGCCTTGAACTGATTGAGTAGCTCAGGCTGACCTTAAACTGGCCAATCCTGCTTCAGCCTTCTGAGAGCTAGGATTATGGAGTGCACCACAAGCCCAGCTCATTGCATTTCTTTAATCTATTTTTTATCATCCCTGGGAAGCTTTATGTTTTGTATGGTATTAGAATAGGCAGCCCAGCCCAGTACATTTTAGAGCTTGGAAAATTTGTAGAATCATACAGCTTATTTTGCTTTTGCTGTTACCTGAGGCTTCTGGTATTTTTGGTGACATTTTTATATTTTACTAATTAATTTTCCTCTCAATTTCATGATTCAGTTTTAGGTAATCCAATATTACCTGATAAAATGGGACGTGTGAGTTTAACCTGTGAAACATATCCATGGAACTTAAAAATTCACTTTTACAATTTATACACTGGTTTTAACGTAGCAATAGACTGACTAGATCATTAACACTATCAAAATTAAAGATTTTAGATTTATAGCTTTGAATACCCAAGTTCAGATTTTTATTTTGTTTTATATTGTTTTGAGACAGGGTCTCATTATGTAGTTCAGGCTGGCCTTGAACTTGTTATGTAGCCCAGGCTGGCCTCAAACTTGCAGCAATCCTCCTGCCTCAGCTTCCCCAGTGCTGGGATTACAGGCGTGTGTCACCACATCTGGCCCAAATTCAAATTTTAGATATTTGCATAAGACATATTTTTAGAGTAGTGTTGAAAGCTTAAAATAATCTCTATCTACATTTGAAAAAAATTTTAGAGATTAATTTCTCTGGTACTTCTCATTTTGTGTTCTCAGGTTATTACTTAAAGCTGTTGATCTCTTTAAAGCATTTGCACTTTTAAGTGTTTCGGAAATTAAAAAATAGGTATTCACAATACTTAAGCAATTAAAAAAGAACAAACTACACGTAATTTTAATGAGTCTTAAAACTATGCTGAGCAAAAAAAAAAAAAATAAAGCACAGAAAGGGGAACTACTGTATGGTCCATTTGTGTAAAAATCTAGAAAATGCAAATTACACCCTAGTGACCAGACCAGTGGCTCCTAGCGATGGAGGACAGGGACACAAGGAAACTTTTGGGTGAAGAGTTCATGTTTGTCCAAGTTATAAAGTTCACGTGTAGCGTATACCTCAATACAGTTGTACATAGAAAAGAATGATTGGGCTAAAAATAAATGGCAGTTATAGAAGAACCAGGTTTAAATACACAAATATCCGTGTTTGTAATAGCTTTTAAATTGTTTCATTGGTATATCTTCCGCAAATAGATACTGCTGAAAACTTCATTCTTTTGCTCTATTTTGTGCATTTTCATTAAAGTCAGATATTTGGTATAAACTAAATGAAACAGAGAAACGCGGCATATATCACCAGTCTTCATGTCTTAGACGTTGCTTTTTTCTCTTCTAGTTGTTTGAGCTGAGCCACTTAGTCTTTACATAAGAAATATCTTTGTCTTCCTCCTGAGCTCTTCATTTCTGCTCCAGAAGAATGCAGAAGTTTGGGACTGGCCTACATTCTATAATCAAGAATATCTTGACATTCTTTCTCCGACTTCATTAAACTCACCTAGAGTCTTCGGGGGAATTTTATTTAGAAGCACTTTATATTTGACCTAATTATTTCTATAGGACTCCAAGAAAGACTAGGCCTATTAAGGGTAATTTTAAGTTGTTTATCTTAAAAACTCAATAATATTTTGCAAATATCAAACATTGAAGGAATGCATCTAACAGTGAATTATTATTTTTTAAAGCTTTAACATTTTCAAATTCTCTTCTTTAAATGGGGCAAAAAAAAAATGAAACCATCACTGAAAAACATACATCAGATTTTTTAAAATAGTGACTATGAAATTCATACTGGTTTTTAATATAGTCTGTTCCTCTTCTGGGTAAATTTGTATTCTTTCCGGCAACATAATTTTTAGGAGCTTTTGAGAGAAACTATCTCGTTAAGCTTCAATAATGATTGTATGTAATGTATCCTTTGAAGACATTTATATAGGTTATTTTATCAACAGATCATTTTTCTCCTCTTTAGGAATCAAACTGGATTGATGATAAAGAATTGCTTATTAAAATTGCTGCAATTGATAATGGTCTAGCATTTCCTTTTAAACATCCTGATGAATGGAGAGCATGTGAGTATGGCGATTTTTCCTATATAATTGCTTCTTTTCCAAAATAGGAAACAAAATTAACAGATCGCCAAATAACGGGGGGAAACTGGGTGAAGTGCAACTGTTCATTAGGGCTCATTTGGGGCACTAGGAATTCGAAGACAGTGTGTGTGTCTTGCTGTGTATTTTTGCTTATTTTGGGATGATGTGTTTTGGTTTTGATTTGTAGGCTTATGTTATTTCTGGAGAATGGGGTTGGCAGCTTCCTGAAGAGCTGTACTTGAATGTTTGGGCTGGTATTCACTTACAGGACAGCTCAGGCCTCCACCCCTTTTAATAAGTACTGTAGTTCTTTAATTGTTTTACTGGTTTCTTGTATGGTTAGGAATCAGTTTTCTACATATTGAGCCAGTTTTAGACATTTTTGTTTTGCTTAAATTGTCCATGATATCTTCCATTTAAGATTTATAAGTATAATGTTTTGTTTAGAATTCTCTAATTTAAAAAAATCCTGTCTGTGCATAGGGTGAAGTGATGTGATATCTAGAATTTACCTTGAAATAGTTGTTGACGTGGGAACCAGGGGATGTAGATGAAGCAACATTTTGCAAAAATTTGTTACTAATTTAATTAGATTATTTGAAATGTGAGTTCACTGTACTATTTTATATTTTTTCACAGTTTAAAGTTTATACAATTTTAAAATGGTCTCTGTGTCTAAGATTATACTTCTTTTAAAATCCTTCTTTTAGCCAGGTGTGGTGGCACATACCTAAAATCCCAGCACTCTGGGAAGCTGAGGCAGAAAGATCACAGGTTTGATCCCAACCCTCACAACTTTGTGACCTAGAGTCAGAGACTTTTCTTTATTTCTTAAAGGCACTTATTTACTTTCTAATGATTTAAAATTTTAGAACATCTACGGAAAGTGCCTCCATCGTGGAAAATTTGTCGCTGTAGAGGACTAGGAGGCCTCCCCTGTCTGGGGCTATGGTATTCAGTCTGGGGCTGTGAATGAATTTGGGCTACCTATTAATTTCTAAACTCTGGAGCCAGGTAGAGTAGATATTTTTGAGATGTGGCTATTTGAACTAAATTTGTTATCAAATTCTGATTCTCTACTACTAAAACTCAAACAGGAGATTACTGTTAATTGTATCTGAGTCAGCTATTCAAATTTGCAATCTACATTTGGATTGCAAAAGTAATTGTGTTCTAGAAACTTCTCTCTCCTGACCTTTTCTTGGGACAACCTGGGAATTACAGGCAAAGAACCCAGAATTAATGGGAGTCTGAACAAATCTGTTACTGATTGAAAGAATTTTTTTTTTTTTCTATTAGATCCATTTCACTGGGCTTGGCTTCCTCAAGCAAAAGTTCCTTTTTCTGAAGAAATAAGAAACTTGATTCTACCATGTATTTCTGACATGAACTTTGTGCAAGATTTGTGTGAAGATCTTTATGAACTTTTTAAGGTAAATAAATGTATAATGGTGGAGTGTTTCGGTTTGGGGAAAGTTGCACATTGTTTTGTTTTTCCATATTAAATTTTATTTTTATTTTTCATATGTCATTTTTATCTGTACCATGCTGGTGTTCAAACTCAAGGCCTTGTGTGTGCTAGCCAGGTACTGTACCACTGAGTTACATCTCCAGCCCTCAAATTAACCTTTAAATGAGAAGCTGGACGTGGTGCTCCGTGTCTGTAATCCCAGCCCTTGGAAAGTTGAGGCGGGAGGATTTTGAGTTTGAGGCCAGCCTGGATTACATTGTGAGTTCAAAGCCAGCCTGGACAATAGAGCAAGACTGTATCTCAAAAAACAAAACAAAAAGTTAAACCAGTGGTGCTGTATGTAGGTTGGGCTTTGTCTTCCTGTTGAAGACTGAGAGTCAAAGATCAGCATGGTCAGGGCCTGGCTAAGGTCTACAGACTGTTGACTTCTTCTCCATTGTATCATCTCAGGGACTGGAAAGCAGTTCTGGGGCCTCTTACCAGATGAGCGCTCCCATCTTCATGACCTCAGCTCACAGATGAGCTGAGAGGAGACCTCTCAGAAAGTTTCCTAGAAGCTCAGACATTCGATCTGTAACCAGCACTGTGACTGTGTTTTATCTTGTAACTGCAATCTTATAGCAACCCTACGGCATGGTTTTTACCATTTCCGTTTTACTGTTGATAAAACTAATGCTGAAAAAGTTCAAGTTCACATTAAGAATGCAAGAATATGTCTCTCTTACATCAATATTATTTGTATTTAGTCTACAGTGTGTGTTTGGTGATCTACTGTTATTTCTTTTTAAAAGCCTAAACTAGTGGGGCATGATAGTATGTTCCTGTAACCCCAGCATTCCAGAAGGCAGAGGCAGGAGGATCCTAAGTCAGAACCCAGCCCACATGACTTGAGCGAGACCCTTCCTCAAAATTTTAAGAAATAAAAATAAAAGAAGGGCTGGAATGTAGCTCGTACCAGCAAAACAGAGAAATGCTGAACTCGTTGTTCGTGACTGGAATACAAAAACACATCCAGTAAAAATACTGTTTTCTGGTTATTTTATCAATTAGGAGAGTTTTCTAATGGCCTTATTTATTGCAAGGAAGAGTTCATTTGTTTTCATATTTTGTATTTGTTTCACGAATTTTGAGTTTGGGCATTACAGGTAATATTTTGTTTTGTTTCTTTTCTGTGTAGACTGACAAAAGCTTTGACAAAGCCACTTTTGAGAGTCAGATGTCTGTCATGAGAGGCCAGGTAGGTAGCTTTTTTGATGATTAAAAAAAACAACAACACTGTGCTGAAGCAGAGTCTGCATTCTGCTGAGCCAGAATGGCTCAGAAATGAAGTTACCTGATAGCATATCTCTCCTTAGTTATGTTGTGAGCTGTTTGATGCACGTGCTAGGCCAGCGCTGGACCACTGGAGCTGTGCCCAGCCTCCTCACAGAGTGCTTCTGACCTCGGGTGTTACTGTGTGTTGCCCATCCCCACAAGTATTGTTCAGTCCCGTTTTGGTAGCTGTTGTCCTGAGTGTTACTGCCTTTTATTTCTTCAAACCTACTCACTGTGACGGTTCAGTACCGAGTCCTGTTGCCAGCAGATCCTTCTCCTTTCAGAATGTGTTTGGCTTTACTAGAGCAGTCCATACATAACTGTGTCACCAGGACTGAGCACTAATTAGGCGTGAGGGAACTATAATTTTAACTTGGCCCTCTGACCCCTCCCTCCTCTCCTCTAATGGGAGACATGGTGTTAGGTCTAGTGCTGTGGACCTGAAGCTGAGCTGGCTCATCTACAACCTCTGTATCTTCCACTCCATTTCAAAAGCAAGACTTGAAAGGAAAACAAATCACACTTGTAAACATTGGCTTTTCCTGATTTCCAAATTAAGATTCCCTTCCTAAAGCATACATTTCATTTAAGTAGCTGCTTGCTGCAATACTTGCAGCAAAGATGAATCTAGCCTTTGCCCTGATTATTGTAGTATATAACTTTAACAAGTAAATAGAATGAAATCAGGGATTCATTAATTCATCAACTGTTTACTAGCAGAACTAGTAGAATAGAGACACAGTCTACAGGGCCATAAGAACCAGAATGTGGATTTCATACAGCAGGACTAAAACAGAAGCATTAAGGAAGACCTTGTCCTTGGTTTCCTCTATACACTCCCTATGGTTGTGTATAAAGTTCTGTGTGTACATTTTGGTTGTTGGGGAAGTAGGATTTGCGTCTCAGCAAAGAAATCCCTAATCCAAAGAGGTTAAGAATGGCTGGGGGAGGCAAGGCCAGAGAGCGGATGCAGATTCTCTCAGTAGAGAGATTGGGGCAGGGGGCCCAGTGCAGAGGGGTCCCGTGATCAGTGCTGACAGTGTTACCACCCCAGGATGTGTCTGAGCTATAGTCTCGGGCAAAGACGTTTATATCCCAAGTCAACCTGATGTATCAACACGCCTCATTTCTGATTCTTGTCCCTAAAGGTAAGTAGTGGCTTCCTTTGTCCTCTGGGACCTGTTCCCAGACCCAAGCGCATGTTTGAGACTGCAGATAGAACCGACCCTTTATATACATACACACCTGTCTTAATCACAGGATGTTATCTCAAATAAATAAATGCTGTGAATAATTGTGTAAGATTCACTTGTGGGTTAAAGTTAGCACATGTGGAACTTAAATTGAAATGAAGAAATGGTGGCCCAAGGTGGCCAGGGGACCTATAGCTCTGCAGCCAGTCACAAAAGCACACCCACGGGGCTCTGCTGTCTTCGGTTCATTTGTTCATATCTTGGGTTATTCTCAGAGAATTTAGGGGTTTTAAAATTTCATGTAAATTGACAGTGTCAAAATCTGGGGAGAAAAGGAAATAAAGTAATGGTATCTTGGTTATATATTTTGTTTGTTTTTTTTTTAATGTAATTTGAGTTTGAACTTTCTGGTAGCCAAAAAGAATAATTTACCCTGACCGTGTACATGCTTATGTAGCTCTCTGGTTTTAACTCTTTTGTTGTTGGTGGTGGTTTTTTGTTTTTTTGCTTTTTGTTTTAAATCAAGTAGTATTCTCCATTCTAAAAGGAATTGGGTTGGGACTGTAGCTCAATGGTAGAGTACCTGCTTAGAATGTACATAGGCCTGGGTTCAATCCCCAATATCATAAAAAGCAAATAAATGTAAAAACAAATTGTCACAACTTAATAACAACTTAAAAATAACATTGTCTATACATTCCAAACAAAAGAATCATTATTTCAGCCATTTCTGTAGGTCACACTACTTACATTATTTCTGTAACTTACAAGTATCTTCTGACTCCTTCTCCCCTCCAGTTTTGTATATTAACATACTGATTTGTGCTATCTATGGCCAAGCCTTAGTTTGCAGCAAGGCTCCAGTTTTGCACACATAATCAGTAACTTGCCCTAATTCTTACCTAAAGGTGCATAGTGGACGAGTACAAACGTATTTCTCAGAATTTAGGACTGGTTATATTTTTGAAAGTTAAAGCACATTTTAAATTTTTCAGTATTAGTAGGTCATTATCAAGTTCAGTAAAACTCATTGTATGTTCTACTTGTGCCTGTTTGGAACATTAGCCCTTGGATTATATTTACTTAATGGAAAAACAAAGGATTTTCCACATGATCTGAAAAAAATGGTAGAAATAAAATTTTTATGAAAACACAGTGAACTTGATATTTTTATGTTTGTTATCGTTCACCCTCACAATGTAATTATCTGCATTTTATGAGGAAGAACCTTGGCTCCAAAGGCGTTGAGTGACATGTTACCCCTGTGAAGTGAAAGTTGGCAAATCTATAACATCAGGGCTTTGTGTCTGTCTGGGACCCCTGCCATCTCCTCTCTGGATTGAATGACATATTCTGGGCGGCACCCTTACCTCATGACCCCACTCTAAGCACGTCTGACTGCATCCTGTCTTGCCCTGGTGCACAGGCTCAGGGCCAGGCCCCTCACATGTGACTTCAGCCCGAGTCCCTGGTTGTCGTCTCCACCCTGCTGCTTCCCCTAGACCTCTGCTCCCCACTTCCCAGTGGAGCCTGACGTGCTGCTCTGCTTCTCAGGTGCCCTTCCCTCTTCATCCAGAGAACACTTTCCCTCCAAGCTCCAGCTCAGTCCGCTCCCACCTCCTGCCTCCCAGGAGTTCTGGTTTCACAGCTCTCCCAAGGAACATACTAGTGTTGCATTTTACTCAGAAAAGTAGTTTTAAAATCAGCAAATTGAGTAAACTTCTATAGAAAAAATGCCATAAAATTGGCCATATATTAGGATATACACTATATAGTGTTACGTATACAGTACAGCTAATCTAAAGGAAAGCTGTCTGTGCAAAGAAGTCTACATGTTGATGCATCTGCTATGGTTACACCCAAGACACCTCATCAGACTATTGCATATGGCATTGTCCCTTCCTGCTTGCAGTGTCTGCTCAGTCCATTTTTAAAATTACCTCTGGTTTAAACATGTGAGAGAGTGAAGAAAGTAGGCGGTATATGGGGGAAGAGATGAGACTTGGTGGGGGTGTCTCTGTATCAGGGATTGAACTCAGGACCTTGAGCTTGTGAGGCAAGCATGGCACCACTGAGCTAAATCCCCAGCAGGATGGGATTTTAAAGTCTGGGCACAGTTCCCCTCCAGTGATGGCGTATGACACATTGCTTTGCGGTCACTTGTTCCTGTGGCCATTTGTTTCCAGAATGTTCTTTCAGGGCTCACGTGGCTTGCACTCCTATTCAGTCCCCCATCCTCCTTAACATGAAGTGCTCAGTTAATGTTCCTTCTGAACTCCCAAAGAGATAGTAATAGGGTAGCTTAGGATTAAGTTTTGTGATTATATAACTATTTGAAAATTGATAATCTTGTACAATGACTTTCATTTCTTACATGTTTCTGTCCTCCAAATTCTCCGTGACTATCATGTATTGTTTTTAGTCAGAAAAATACTAGGTGTTATTGAAAATGATATATTTAGACTAATATTTTTAGATCAGGATTTTTAAAATCCAAATAGGAAACTAACCAGAACATTAACTCTTTAGCCATGCTGGACTACATTTTACTTTCATGGTACAAATAGTGCTTAATACTTAAATTTCCTAAGTTCTTTTTTTTTTCCCCAAATATAGCCAACCTAGGATATTTTAAGAGACTGTAAAAGGTGCCCTAAAACATAATTTGTAACTCTTGCTACTACTAAAGATTTATTTCCCTGATATGTTAAATACTCCAGATCTTCTAAAATCTAAACCATCTAGTTAAAGTATTACAGGGTTTATATATTAGTATGACTTTATTTTGAAACTTTCATGCTTATCACTATGCTATTAATTTGTCTTTATTAGCAGTAAGATACATAGCATGTGTATGATAGATATTTTTCAGTAGCTGAAGGAGATATCTGTATATAGTACATAGTACTTTTTCCCAATATGCAAGGACAAAAATATCAAACTTTGATCTGAACAAAGAGTAAAATAGGCTGTGAGCTGTGTATTGTTTCATAACTATATGCTCAAAAGTAGAAATTATAAGAATGTCTTTTAACCTGCAAATTTATATTTTACTTTTTCTGATTTTATTTTTCTTTTATTTAAAAGTAAACTGCTCAATTCAATTTTATTTGAAATGGATACCTCCCAAATTCTCTAAGCTACTCTCTGGTTTCCATAGCACTTTCACCTTCCCATGTACGATATCATTCACTGGTGTTTACTGACTTCTCTGCTAAAAGAGGCAGGAGTTTTGTTTGCGTGCATAACGGTCACATCCCCAGCACTTAGAACAAAGCTCAGCATGTAGTAGGTGTGCAGGAAATTCACTTGTTGAATGTGTTGCCAGGTCTGGGGTGCTGTGTTCTTCCCAGGGGTCCTTTCCAGGCTCTTACCCTAAACAAAGAATTGGCCAGGCAACGTGCAAAAGGTAGTGAGGTTTTACATTTATTCACGGTATTAAAGGTGGGAAAAGAAGTATGGTCTGCAGAATGAGTGTGGGCCTAGTAACAGTAGGCAAAGACGTAGGCTCTGAAGAGGGTCACCGAAAGCTTACAACCGCCACAAGGTTAATGGCGACAATCTTTTGTATCCCAATTCTTACATCAGAGCTAGGCTGTCCTATGAAAAACCTGCTTGATTTCACACCAGAAGAAGAACTGAAGATAGCATTCTCTGATTGGTCCCAGGTACAGAGCGAGCATGAGCCCTGGATGTCTGTGGTTAACAGGTTGCACCCAGTTGCCCAGCAGGCTGGCCATGCCCTGGTCTCCTGCTTCAAGTGGATAAGGCAGTTTTTAAAGCAGTATTTCTGTCTCTGTCAAATGGAATGTGCTGAATGTTTCACTTTATTTAGTCTCTGATTCCATTGCTTCTGGGTGCGGGGACATTCTAGAATATTTTGAAGTAACAATCGTTAAAAGTTATTTAATTTCATGCGTTTGTGTATATAAGCATATCTACATCCATATCATACTTATTTATAGCAGTTTCTCACTGAAGTCTGTTTCATGTTAGTAGATGAATTACAGTGAATAAATGGTTAAAATAATGTTAGTGAAGTGAAGCTTTTTATCTTTAAAGTAATGGAGCTCTCTTCCTCCTACAGATCTTAAACCTCACCCAGGCGCTGCGAGATGGCAAGAGCCCGGTGCAGCTGGTGCAGATGCCATGCGTGAACGTAGAGCGCAGTCCAGGGCGTGGCCAGGGTCGCGTCGTCCACCTGACCAGCACGTTCACCCAGACCTTCCATTGCAGGAAACCCTTTTTCTCCTCCTGGTAGTAGATGTAACAGAAACAGCTGTTGGGCATCGCTCTGTTGTTGAGACATGACAACATTTTACATCTGCCGCAGCTGTCAGAACCTGAAGTTGTTCAAGTCTTTTAAAAAAATTTTTTCTTTTGAATGTAATCAAAAGTTTACAGCTTCTTATCCAAATATTAAATTCCATTTCAGGGAAGAAATGATGACTCTCCTATATTGTATTTTTATAGAGAACTGTATAGTTTGTTGTTGTTGATTTAAAAGCTGACCTCATAGTGTACCATGCTACAGCTGTCTGTAATTACTCTAGAATTCCAAGTAAAGAAATAAGATATTTGTTGAGTTTGAAAACAGTAGCAGTTTTTTTTTTTTAACATTGAGGAGAATGTTCACTTTGACTCTTTTTTTCATTACAAAAGGCCTTTGAGAATGACAATGTCTGAAATTACTCTCTCCTACAACAGAAGAGTCAGTAGAACAAGAGGAAAGAATAAAGCAAGGCTGCCTTAATTTCAAAAGCTGCTAATTTAGAACTGGAATAAGAGCCCCTACAGTGGTCATTATTGGGGACCTGAAAATTATATTTTGGTTAAGTAACAGATGGCCACTTCTTTTTCTCTTTTAGAGTATATTTTTTATTTGTTTCAGTAAGTAAAAAAAAAAAAAATCTAAAGACAGTTTTTTAAAAAAATGGAAACACTCATTTGCATGAGGGAAATAATATAAAATTGAGGCAGACCTTCAATATTTTCAAATTCAAAAAAAGCCTCAAATATTCCTTTTTGTTCGTGTACAGGATCCAATAATTGAGCAGTTAGTACTTTGGAGTACTGATCTTGTTCAATTTAGTACTTCAGTTAGTATAAACTTCACTGAAAAGTAAGTCATACCTCAAAGTATATATTAGATTTCATTTTGGGGGTCTTGGTTTTAAGTGTTTAAAAATAAGAGTAGTACTTGAAATTATTAGTCGGTTTTAGATTATCAGCCCGATTTAAAGGGAAACATGACGGATAACCATAAAAGCATTTCTATTTGATTTTGAAATTTAATTTTGTACTTGATTTTGAATGTCAGTATGTTTCACATTCTTGGAATTTGTAGCGCTGTGAATTCATGAGTTATTAGGTTGAAATGAACCAAATATGAAGATGAGATTCTGGAGAAGAAAACCTTTTTTTTAATTGATTTCTCTCTGAATAGGTTCAACATGACTCCTCCTCCATTCAGCCATGTTGAATCCCCCTGGGAAACCTTTTATTTCTTCAGTCTCAAAACTAGTACATCAGCCCTCAGTCTAAACTGGGCAGGCAGTTGCTGGGTTTGGCCTTTTGTCTCACAAGTGTACTATCGTGCCTTTTTTTTAATGAGTCATTTTTGTGTAAAATGAACATCTGGGGGACTAACCCCAATATAGGACAGATCTGCAGTCGCTCTGCCACACACATAACTGGGATGGATGCCACATGGCTGCCCTCAGGGCATTGCTGGAAACCTGTGTCCTCCTCCCTCCTCCCACCTTCCTGTTAGTTCCACTTGGAGACAATGGAAAATTGACTGCAAGTTCAAAACTCAAACCATTATCCTTAGGTAAATACTTGTAGTTAAAATGTGCCTTTCAAAGATGTATTCTCAAAGAAAAGTTGTTGTAATATGAGTATGACTTTGATAATAGTTTTTCTCAGTATTTTGAGAATTACTATATTAATTTTTATAATAGAAAACTTAGTAAATTGCAAGTTTTATATGCTAAAATTAGTGTGAAAATATTTTTACGTGTCTGACCATGCTTGAAAAGTAAAGATATTTAAGATTACAAGTCAGAGTACCTTGGCTGTGTTTTTTAAACTTCCATGAACTTAATTCTTATTTAAGTATTATTTTTCCAATGAGTATATTTATATTGTTAAACATGGTAGAATAAATATAATAAAAATTGTTGTCTTAAAGCTGGATTTCTGCTTTATGTATGTGCATTGAATAGTTAGAATGTTTGTGAACATGTTTGTTTTTAAATGTTGGGGAGCCATCATTTTGCTTACTTTGAATATTAGTGATATAGTTTAACTGGATAATTCCAAGACATATTTAAATGGAAGCTTTATGATTGGAGACATTTTATTTAATTATATGCTACCTTATCACTCCCAAAGTTGGTCAGCAGTTCATGACATTAGAGACGTGGTTTTTTATAGACTTGAAAATAATTTTACTCAGTTTTTTGGGGGTGATGCTGTAGATGGAACCCAGTCCTCACACATGCTAGGCAAGCTTTCCACAGCTGAGCTGCCTTCCCCTAGTCTGTTATTCTTATCAAATTTAAAGTACACGGGGCATGGCAGAGCACACCTGTAATCCCAGCACTCAGGGCTGAGGCAGGAGGATCCTCATGTGTTTAAGGCCAGCCTGTGCAATGGGCTCCGTAGTGGGACCATCTCAAAAAACAAAACCAAATCAGAAACCACAGTCAGAACTGGGAGAAGACTGTCAGCATCACAGCGCCCACCTGGAGAATGGGCCTGCAGAAAGGTGTGAGGGCTCCAGGGCAGCCTGGGCCTGTAGTGAGCCGACATGGGGATGTGGTGGGGACACTGCAGGGACCAGCGCATTCCGGTGGGGGAAGGGGCTCAGAGGCTGACAGGAGGGCACCAGGTGAGACTGGAGAAAGCAGTGACAGGCAAGGTAGTGACAGCCAGGAACAGGTGGCCGTCACTCTGCAGTGACTGCAGAGGAGCGAGGCTCAGCAGCTGTCCTGAGTGCCCTCACCTTCCACACAAAGCTTTGGAAAAGGACTCGAATCTGGGGTACCTTCCTCTTATTTCTGGGTTTTATGCTTCCTCATGGTCATCCTTCTAATGGAGCAAGCCCCTTGGTCGCCTATTCCTTTTTATTCTGAGTAGTCTCACTGAGCAAGCAATTGTTTGTGGTTCAAGCCTCCCAGGGAGCATGAATAGCTAGAGAACCCTGAAGTTAGGTTCTAGTCTCCTGCTCAGTGTTTGACACAAGGCTGAAGAAAAAAACTAATGACAGAACTAAGAGAGACAGAATGCAGGGACTGGGATGGCCAATGCTGGATCCCCAGCAAAAGACCCCATCAGTTTTATCCACTGATTTTTATTGTTCATCAATTGGGGTAAAGGGGAGCTATGTGTACAGATGTGCAGTTTCTGTGGAAACTAATGCAGGCAAGGCTTTAAAGAGAAGTGACAAAGCAGACCAGGGCTTTAGCTCAGAATTGTGCCTGCCTCACAAGTGCAAGATCCTGAGTTTGATCCCCAGAACCAAAAAAAAAAAAAAAAAAGTAACAAAACATCTTCAAATTAGAAGCAAGATAGACAAAATATATGGTTGTAATTAGAACATTCTGTCCTTCTAGTTAGGAAAGTACTAATTGTGGGAATGGAATTTGGGTGCAAATTACCCTGACCTCAGCTACACGTTATCTCGTATCAGCCCCACAGCTTCGTAGGCCATTACTCTGGTCTTGGCTGTGGCCATAAGCAGGGAAGTCATATTGACCTTGGAGCTACCACAGTGCTCTGAGATGCCTCTGTGAGTCACGTAGCTTCAGTCAGACTCTTCTTAAAGTCAGCCCATTGAGGGATTTAACTCTCTACAGCCTGCACTGCTTAGAGGACGCTTTGGGTATAATCAAGGTTTCAGCTTCCAGCACCCAGGGGTAGAACACTGGATCATATGGCAGTTCTGCTATTCCTTGAGGACCTTGATACTGTTACCATAACAGCTATAGTCCTTCACATTCCCACCGACAGTAGGCGTGGGTTCCCTTTTCTCCACATCCTCCCTGGCACTTGGCCATCTTCCATCTTTTTGATAGTAGCCACCCCAATAGATTTGGGGTGATGTCTCATCATGGCTTTAATCAGCATTTCCCCGATGATTGGTGATCCTGAACATTTTATCATATACCCATTGGCCATTTGTGTGTCTTCTTTTGAGAAATGCCTGTCCAGGTCCTCTTCCCATTTTTTAATCACCTTATTTGGTTACTTACTGTTGAGTTGTTTGAGCACCGAACATCTTATAGTGTATATTTGCAAATATATTCTCCAATTCAATCACTCTGTTGATTGTTTCCTTTGCTGCAGGGAAGTGTCTTAGTTTGCCAAGAATGTGCCTGTGGTTTGGGCGTTATCCAAAAAAATTATTGCTCCAACCAATGTCATAGAACATCTCTGCTGTTTTCATCTAGTAGTTTTACAGTTTCAGGTTTCACATTAATCCATTCAATTCATTTTGAGTTGATTTTTGTGTATGGTATAAGACAAGGGTCTAATTTCATTCTTCTGCATATGGATATTCAGCATTCCCAGAACCATCATGTGTTCTTGACATCTTTGTCAAAATCCATTAACCACAAATACGTGGATTTATTTCTGGGCTATTCTGTTCTGTTTTTATGCCAGTATCATGACTTTATTCCTACAGGTTTATAGTAGAATTTTGATTTTTATCAAGCAAATTTGCTAATTTTGTTGCAGTATTCCTATAGTTTGCACGATTCAAATAACTATCAAAAGAATATTGTTATGAATGATGCTAACAGGATAAAATCTCAGAATAAAATACATAATTTGCAACAAGAAGATTTTTGCCTGCTAATCTTGTGAGCTCTCAGTCACTGATGAGAGCTAATTTGCTTTTACATAGTGCTTCTTACTTGAGTATCCCTTCATGTTAAGCAGTTTTGGATTGAACATGCAAGTAGACAAGGAAGCTGCATAATTAATCAGGATCACTTTATTTAGTTTATAAGTTTTAACCTGCTTCAGAATCCATGTGAAGAACCCTGTCCAGAACACGAACCCTTAAAATTTTTTCTTCTACCGAACAATGCTGATCAATTTAACTATTATAGTTGCAAAATACTAAATACTGCTTATCAACAGTAAGTAGAAGGTATATAGAATTCTTTTTTGAGTTGGGGTTTTGGAATAGGGACCTGGAAAACCTTGTGGTCTCTCAAAGCAGCTTTCTTCACATGCAAAGTACATGAGCTGGTACCAATACAGAGACCCGTACTAAGGAAGGAAGGAGTATGCAGGTATGCCCTGTACGAAATGTGGTACAAATGCTCTTAGGTGCATATTTCCTTTCCCCAGAGCAGCCATCTCGCTGTTATCAACAGAACTTTTGGTTTGGGGGATTTAACGATGAAATAAGGCAGACATTTGTGCTTATGGGCTTGGATTATGGATAAAGGAGAAGAGAGCACATGCAGATTTCTAGGTTTGCTATCATCTTTCTTGGAGCATGGGGATAATTTGGGATCTTAAAGCAAAAGTTTTCTCTTTTGTGACACATGTGGGTTTAACCTGAGATGGTGAGAAAAAGGCACCTGTGAGCCCTGGGAAGCAGCATGTCCACACCTGACTCCCTGGGAAACAAAGCGACTTTTCAAAAGGTGTTTGTTCAGGATCTTGGTCCCTGGGTCCAGCCTGTGAAACGCTAGCCTGGCTGTCAGTGGCTGGTGTTTGTCCAAGTCTCCTTGTGGGTCTTCTGAGATCTGAAAATGGAAAATACAGGATTTCAGAAAGAAGCAGCTGGTCTCTGTAAGCAAAGAGATGTGTCTGTTTCTCCTTCCACTCCAAGAACCTGCTGGCTCCAGATGATC